ACCCTAAACCCTAAACCCTAAACCCTAAACCCTAAACCTTAGCTGATCTTCCAGGGAAGCACACACACCCCTCGGGCGTGTCGGGATTCCGAGTTCAGGCTGAGGAGACCTCGGGGTTCAGAGTAAGGAATTTGGGTTTTGGGGTTTAGGGTTTTGGGGTTTAGGGTTTAGGGTTTAGGGTTTAGGGTTTAGGGTTTAGGGGTTTTGGTGTATGAAGATGACATGTTTAGGGATGGTGTGGAAACCCCAAGCCCTAAACCCCAAACCGATTTCGGGTTTAGGGCGCATTGATTTGGGATGTAGGATACAATCGAAAGCCGTGAGCCCCAGACACTCTGGAGTTCAACACATCTCAACACTAATTGCCCCCCAAGCCATGATCAATTGTGGGGATGAGCCCTCTGGGCAACCCTAAACCCTAAACCCCTAAACCCTAAACCCCTAAACCCTAAACCCATTTTTAGGACCCTTAATCCGAGAAAGCACCCGAAAATCCTCAAGTCCCTGGGCGTTGAAAGACTGTAACACCCCCCCCCAACCCTTAAACCCCAACCCCCTTAGCCCTCCCTAAAGGTCCAGGTACTCATATAGCATATACATGGGCCTTAAAGTACCTATATAGGGACTACATTAAGGCCAATGTATATACTATATGAGTACATGGACCCTTAGGGCCTAATAAGTTGAAACATCCCTAAACCCTCAACCCTGAACCTATAAGTATCCTAGATTAAGCCAAGGCCCCTACCCATAGGCCCCATAGTAGTTCCTTTTTGGGGGGTTACCTTACAGGATTCTATATGGGTATTTCTCTAAATTAGGGTCCAATTTTAGGTCCCCAATATAGTACGGCACCCTTATGAAAAGAACCCTAAAAGGGACCCTAATTTAGAAAACTACCCATATATGGACCCCAAAAGGAACTACTTTAGGGCCTATAGGTAAAGCCTGGACCTTCCAAGCCCAGAAAAGAAGACAACACCGAACCGGTAAGGATTCTATATCAGAACCCCCAAAAGGATCGACTTTAGGGCCAATGGGTATATAATTTGCCTAAACCCTAAACCCTATAAACCCTAAACCATGATTTGGGCAGTGTTGGCCGCGCTCTCAACCGTACGCTTGCGCCGCTTCTCCTCGGCAAGACGGACGCGGCTTAGGTCCCAAGAAGTCTCTTTTGGTTTCGGGTTTAGGGTTTAGGGTGAGTCATCTCCCTTTTGGTTGAGGGTGTGGGTATTATGGGTTCGGGGTTTAGGTTGTACGTAGGGTTTTGGGATGTCGATTTTTGGATTCAGGGTTTCGTTTCTAGTCCTCCCGCCCAAGCAAATTTACGATCCACTTTTCTGGTTTACTTAAACTTTTTGCCTCGTACACTGGAATTCATGTTGGAGCGCGCATGCCCCACGAAAAGGAGGTTCGGGATGTAATTTTAGCCGCCCGGGCCGTTTCCAAATTCCGAATGGGCTATGCTTGTGTTTCCCAAACCCCAGTCACGTTATTCCGACTGTTGTAAAAACCCTAAACCCTAAACCCTAAATTATTCAGACTTTTGTATAATGGCCGCAAACCCTAAACCCTAAATTTAAACCCTAAGTCCGGCGCGTAGAGCCCTAAACCCTAAGGGTCCAAGTACTTAATGATTATATACTCTCCCAACTGCTACCAGGACCCCCAAAGTACCCTGTAATATTCAGTGTATATTCGATTAGAGGTCAGTTGGGGGGTCTATATAGGTAACCTACCAAACTACTATCCGTAACCCAGGTACCTGACAATTAGATCCTTTGGACCGGACCCCCAATGGCCCTTTTATAGAGCCCTTATGGTCCCTAATAGTAGGTATTTGGGATATAATAGAGGGTAGTTGGGGGGTCTAGGTTAAGCCACAACTGTCAATCCAGGGTGTAGAGTTTTGTGTTCTAGCTCTTCGCCAGCGAATCATCGCCTTCCTTGTGCCAGCCCGTCTCCGACCTCGTGTTTTGGCAGACTCACAGGGTTCGAAGTACCCATATCGCAGAAAGTGGGCTTTCTACATTTAAATGGATATATTATGGTTTAGGTAAGTATCCCCCCCATGACTCTCTTCAATTCCAGGAAACGACGGTCCCCTGTGTGGTTGGGGTCTTACACTTAGCAAGATGCTACAGCAAGTTCCAGTGGTTTAGGGTTTAGAGACCATAACCGCAAGCTTAATGAGTTCAGGGTAACCCGGCAAGTTGTTAGGTGCTTCCTGAATCTAGGGTATTTAGGGCCGTGGGTGGTAAAGCTCCCGCCCTGATCGAACCTACTTTAGGGTTCAGAGTTTTGTGTCACGAGACCCCCCTTTACAGTAGGCTTGTAGAGGCCTATGGTTGAGCAAGGCGCTTCCTAAGGTTTCCCCCATATACTTGCTGAAACACAGCGTACAACCCCGCTCCCTGCCACTCCCAAAGCCCCCGTCACCGGTAGGGTTTAGGGTCAAGTTTAGGGTATTGAGAGATGTAGATCTACGCCCTTTCCGTCATTAGTTTTACTGCTGCACAGCCGCTTCAAAAGGAAGCGCCAATGTCAAGCTCATAGCTGACGCCCTCGGCTGCAGCTGGAGCCCTTCATTACCAGGTAATAAGAACTCCTCGGGATAATCAGAGAAAAGATACATGTAGCAAGGCATTTGCCGTCGGAATCGTGGAGAAAAGGTCGGAAGCATCAACGTCAAGCTGACAGCTGACATCCTTGGTTGCAGTCACAGCCCCTATGGGTAGCAGTGGTAGTAGTTGTCGTCGTCGTGGTCGTAGTCGCAGTCGTGGTCCGTTGCGGTTGTGGTAGAAGTAGTATTACACGACTTTATGGTTATATGGCCCTAAACCCTAAACCCTAAACCCTATTTAAACCATATACCCTAAACCCTAAACCCTACGCCCTAAACCCTAAACTCCTAGGGTATACGCTTTGTCCGATCAAGGCTCCGAGAAACGAGGTCCCTACCTGAAACCCCATGTGGACCCTGAATAACCTACCGTTTTGGGGTTCCTTATCATGATTTCCTTATAGAAGGGGTTTAGGGTTTAGGTTTTAGGGTTTAGAAGTCTTGAAGAAAAGTAAGTTATTCCGCGTTTAGGCAAACCCCTAAACCTCGGGCCATCGGCAAGGCAGAGCGCACCGCGAGGGTTTCGGAATTATGCTTGAATTTTGATTTCGGGTGTAGTGCCGCAACCCTGAAGGAAAAACCTCCCAAACTTTGTATACCCTATGCTGAATTGCTGGAAGACAGCTTTGTGGAGGGTTCCTCCTGCGCAGCTTCGAGACCTAAAATCTTAAGAAGAGCAGTCGACCACGTACGTGCAGGACGTCATAGGTTTAGGTCTGAGAGGTTATGGCGTTGGCCCTAAACTCCAAACCTTGAACGGTGAATGTTGCCAATACTAAACCTTAAGGCTGTAAAGCGAAACAAGGAACCCTAAAACCCAGGTCGAACCTTAAAATTTCTAAACCCTGAACCAAAAACCGTAAACCCTAAAACAAAACCCGTAGCTTCGTGGTCCCTGCTAACGCAAGTAATTCATCGAGTTCTCAACATGTGCCAAGGCTGAGGGGCAACAGGACCACGTTTGCCCGGTTGTTCGGCTTGGGCTAGGCTGTAACATTTTGTTCTATATGTATGTATGTATGTATGTATGTATGTATGTATGTATGTATGTATGCATGTTTGTCTGTATGTATGTATGTATGATATTGCAGTATACAGCTCCATAAGAAGATGATTGTTCAGAACCCCTACATTAGTCTATTCGGGTTTGAGCGCAACAGGTAAGTCGTCGATCCCAACAGCTCCATAGGTTTGTAACTGCATTCTTGTTAGGCCCGAACCCTGAACCCTAAACCTGAACCCTAAACCCCAAACCCTAAACCCCAAACCCTCAACCCTACATCCTAAACCCTAAACCCTAAATTTAAGGCCCGAACCCCCAAGTCTTCGTTGGCCGAGTTTCTCGCAAGAAAAGCCCTGAATGCTCCTCGCCTTGGCAAATGCCAGAACTTGACGATTCATGGCCACTTGTGAGTATGGCATTGCTTACGCGAGTTTCAGTGAGAATGAGGATGCAATAGGTACGGAGATTCGGTTCATGTTGACTACAACTCTACGTAGTAGTTGGTGAGTAGAGTACGTAAACCTCAAATCTTTCTTGGGTACTCTAGCCCCTATCTAACTTTAGTTCGATAGGACACTGGACGAGTAACCCTACTTGCAATGTTCCATGAACCCTCAAGAACCGGGTCAAGAACCCGACCGCGCTGCTCCTGCCGGAGGTTGCGAGCTGAAAAGAGATCGGCACGGAACCCTGCACACTTAATAGCAACATCTCAGTACGTACCATCCAATTATAGTTCCTTTTTTGTTGAACGATGATATATATCAAGACCCGGTTTTGATTATATGGTCCTCAAGATGTGGTACGAAGGTCATCAGCTTTCGGTTATGAGCACCCCGACTGCGGTTGTCCTCTGTTACAGTAGAGCCTCGTAATCGCTTGAAACCCGATAAACACTATGAAGCCCTCCGAGACCCAATGAAGTTATCCAAACTTCCCAGTTGGGGAACCCAGCTACTCAATCTGCAGAGCATCCTAGTAGAAGTGAGGATTTTTCGAACCCAAAACAGCAATTTGCCTCTCCAGCCGCACAGACACGAAGTGGCAACCGTCTAGCTATACATATGTATTGTATATGTACATCTATGTTATATATACATACATATATATATATATACAAAGATATCTATATACGTACATACGCACAAACTGAATAAGCAACAAGTTCAGATCCTTTGTAGCCTTTCCAAACCCTGCAACACATGCTCCTGCAGCCTTTGCACTCTGGGGCCTTCGGACCCCCTGTAGTTCCTAAAAAGATTTAGGGTTTACGGTTTAGGGTTTAGGGTTTAGGGTTTAGGGTTTAGGGCTTCGGAGGTTAAGGGTTTAAGCGGGGCCAAGTTGTACCCCAAACTCCAAACCCCATCGCAGGCATTCAACATCAATACTGAGACGCACCTGCAACCAGTGCTCTGCTCCTCCTTCTTTGACGAGGAGGACGGGATGTTAGGAGTGGAGTAAGAGTAGGTAACTTTCATAGCTTTGTTGGGGTACTAAGACTATCGGGGGTACTATAAGGGGTTCTATAAGGGTTCGACAAGAGTTCCATGAGGGTTCTTAGTACCAGAGTCGGTAACGTTTAACCTGCTTTGGGTGCTAGTTGCAATCCCTATATTATGCCAAAGGTTAAGCTTTAGCTCCCCTGGGATACTGGAAAAGTAATGGATTGAGGTTTATGTCCCACAAAACAGTCTATCCTACAGCTCTACCCTGCATCCCGAACCTTGAACCCTACACCCTGAAGCCTAAACTCTAAACCCTAAACCCTACATCCTCAAGCCTAAACCCTAAACCCCAAGCCTGCATCCGAAACCTTCGGTGCTGGCTCCACCTCTCAGAGCTTTATCAGGCATTATCTCTCAGACTTGATGCAAGACTTTCTGGGTTTAGGGGGGTTAGAGTTTAGGGTTGTTAAGGATTCAGGGAGGGCTATCTACACACTTGCATTCCCTTCTGCCAATAAGTATTCGCACGGGAGACCTGATCCCCATGACGCGCATGTCGCAGCTGCTCGCGTTCCTGGCCGAGTGCGAGCTTGCTGCGCTCTTCAACGAAGCTGCACCCTGCACAAGTTTCGCGGCTGCCTTCCGGAGAACGGTTTAGGGGTTTAGGGTTTAGGGTTGTGGCCTTGGTCAAACTTGTGTTGCATGGGCCCCAACCTGAGGCTCAGTGGAGTTCTCGTTAAAGCAGGAGTATACTGACTCCCAGAGCCTTTGGCGATTTCTTTGCAGCGCCGCAGAACCGAACAAGCAATCTGCTGACCTTGAACCCTAAACCCTAAATACTAACAAGCAATCTGCTGACCTTGTCTTGGGAACCCAGCATAGAGGTCTCAGCAATGACAGGTGATGATCAGAGTCCTGTCTAGTCATTAGACTTACTATGTAACTATACCTTGAAAGGCTAACTGCTAGGGCCCTTACAGTAATGTACCCAGTACGGAGCGCGCAATGTACCCTTGTAGAACCCTCATAAGCATGACAACTCTTCAGTGCTTCAGTGCCTAGGGAAGAAAGTTGATCTTTCGCGTTCCGGGTGTAGACTAAACTCATCTGAACTCGAAGCCCGACACCGTAAGCTTTATAAACTATCCTAAACCCTTAACCCTATTCACCCTAGAAAAACAAAGCCCTACGCCTACCACCCAGCAGCCTGAGTTCTGGTGAGCAAAACAGAGTTCCGACCATGTCAGGAGGCGAAGGAAGAAGACAGCAAGGACAAGAAGGACGGTTCATTCTGCAGGGGTTTAGGCTGATAGTCCGTAGAAAAGCACAGCTGTGGCCCCGAGACACTTATAATGGAATTTATAATGGAAGCGATGGTTTAGTTATTCATGCCCCCATATTGGGTTTCTAACGTAGGGCGGTGTAAGGGTGAAGGATTGAGGTTCGGGAGATGGACGGGTAGGGGCTCAAGCATTTATAGAGCTTAATGGGATTTCTAGAAGGGCTCCCCATAGAAGTCCTGTTAAGGTCTTTGAGGTTCTGTTTTGGGTATTATGTATGACACAGGGAGTCTAGCTGCAGGTAAGGTCTAAGATATGGAACTTATAGTAGTTATAGTTCTTCATACAGCCTGAAAGTGGCTCGCAACATCTTCGCCCTCTTGTCTGTAGCTGTGAAGATGTAGACCGAGTTTTGGCTGAAAGTAAGTTGCCGTCATATCTGATTGTGGGCTCTTGTGTAGATGCCGCCCCTGCCCTAAACCCCAAACCCTAAACCCTAAGCCCTAAACCGGAAGGTTCAGGACTTTGATGGTTGGCTGACCGGAAACCTAGCACGACAAGGTAACCGTTAATTTTTTGGGGTACTATAATCCCTACCTAGACCCCAAAGAGCCTGCCTTTTTTAGGATTTATGTAAGGAAATCATAATATCGAACCCAAAAAGGGAAGGTTCCTAAGGGTACAGGTATACTATCCCAAAGGTTAACCATTGGGTTCCCGTCCTAAACCCTAAACCCTAAACCGTTCCCCGAATTAAACCCTAAACCCTAAACCGGGCGAGTACCTAGACCCCCGGTCTGCCCTCTATTAGGCCCTAAATGCCCATTACTTGGGACCATATACTCAGGGTTTAGGGTTTAGGGTGTAGGCCCTAAAGGCCCATTACTTGGGACCATATAATCAGGGTTTAGGGTTTAGGGTTTATGCCCCAATTTGAAGGTAATGTAGAGGCCTTAATAATTAGAATAGAGTTTCGGGGCCCATTCTACTATAATTATGATAAGGAGCCCCCAAAATAGTATTGGTAGTTGTTCAGGCCTACCCTAAACCCTAAACCCTAAACCCTAAACCCTAAACCCAATTTTTGAGGGAAGAACAGGAGGCTCCTGGTAACACTTGCTTCACAGCATTTTCCTGGACCTGTCGTCCTGTGTGTGAGATGATTCATAGGGTTTAGGGTTTAGGGTTTAGGGGTTAGGGGTTCGGGTTTAGGGGTTAGGGGTTAGGGTTTAGGGTTTAGGGTTTAGGGTTTAATGATTCCAGGGAAGGAGCCCTAAAACCTAAACCGGCGAACTTTTCTAAGGGTTCCTTTTAAGGGATCCTGTGGGGTGTCCTTTAAGGGATCCTTTACGGGCTTCCTTTATGGATTGATGGGTTCGCTTAAGGGGGGGGTTCGCTTGGGGGGGCGAAATAGGGTATCATGGTCCCCAAATCTCAACCCTAAACCCTAAACCCTAAACCCTAAACCCGACCCAAGGCCTCATCTCCCAAGTTCATTTGGTAGTATAGTATAGGGGCCTGGGTATTTAGCAGAGGGTTTTGGAGTTTGGGCCGCATGTTGGATCTTTAAAGGAATACGTTACGTTTAGAACATGTGCAGCCCAAAAGCAGCGCAATTTCCAGAGAACTGCATCCCCGCATTGGGAGGACGAGAAGAAGGATGAGAAGAAGAAAGAGGAAGACAGCCGACGCCCTAAACCCTAAACGTTTCGGGTTTATGGCTTACCCAAAGGCCTTGGGGCTTTGTCACGTACGGCGAATACATTCAATAAGAAACTGCATGGATGAGTTTGGACCCTGGAAATTTCTTGTGGGGGCTACCTACTCTTAAGAAATATGCGATGGGTTCAGGGTCTGACTAGATTTCTAAAATAGTGTCCCAACCCCAGCCTTTAACTGCTCCCTGGAGCTCCTCTGGGAGAGTGTCGGTGGAGAGCTACACAGAAAGGGGTGGGAGTGGAGGGTTGGGGGGCGGGAGGATTGGAGGAGGGCTTTAGGGATAGGGCTGTAGGATTTAGGGTGTTGGGTTTTAGGGCTTGGGCTGTAGGGTTTGGGCTTTAGGGTTTTACGGCTTGGGCTGCAGGGTTTGAGGTTTAGGGTTTTACGGCGAAGGCTTTAGGGTTGAGGGTTTAGGGTTTTAAAAGCCATGATAAGCCATAAAGATTGAGACCTGAAACCTAGATCCTGAAGCCTAAACCCTACACCCTGAAGTCTAAAACCCCAAAAGCCCAAGCCTTGAAACCCCAACTCGCACTCTAAAGCCTAACCCTTAAACCCTAAACGCACTCAGGCCAACTGTCGAGACATCACCTGGCACTTCTGAAGTTGCTGGCGCAGGCCTTGGGGGGTCTAAGAGGGGTTTAGGTTTAGGGTTTAGGGTTTAGGTTTAGGCTTTGAAGTCCTTCGGAGTTTTGTTGAAGGTTCGAAAGGTCGAACTAGTCATAATACAGGTCGGTTTGTGACCTCATTGGATAAGATCGTCTTTGCGGTTGAAGGCCCCATTCACGGTGCAAGAGTTACAAACCCAAGCCCCCTAAACCCCTAACCCCCCAAAACCAAAGCTCGAAACCCTTGGGGTTTAGGGTTTTGGGTTTGTAACTCTTGCAATTTTGGGGTTTCAGGTTTAGAGTTTTGGGTTTAGGGTTTAGGGTTTAGGACTCAGGGTTTAGGGTTCAGGGCTTAGGGCTGTGGGCTTCGGGTTAGGGTTTAGGGTTTAGGGTTCCTCTTTTGGTTTAACCAATGCTATATTAATGATGCTATAAAAGAACCACCACAAAAGAAGTATTTAGAATGGAGACTATAGGTAACCCAAAACCTAAAGACTCTGTCATCAGCCCGAAACCTACACCTCTAGGTTCCCCAGTAGTACCCTTTTGCCCTTTTTCGCTTCAGGTTCCCCTAGCAACAAGTTCAAGGGTACTGTGATGATTACCCCAAACCCCAAACCCTAAACCCCAAACCATAAACCCTAAACCCTAATCCCTAAACCCTAATCCCTAAACCCTAAACCCTGAACCCAAACCCTGAACCCTGAACCCTAAACTAAGGGGCTACTGGGGGAACCTAGACCTTCTGGAGTCTAAGTCCCTTTGCCCCCCACCAGCCTGCAGGGTCTCACCCGGAGAGCTCTCCTCCACAGCGTCTCAAAAGTCTATGGTTTAAGGTTTCAGGTTTCAGGGTTTCGGGTTTCAAAATATAGGCTTTTCGGATTTAGGGTTTTTGGTCAGGATCTAGGGTTTAGGGATTTTTAGGGTTTAGGCTTTCAGAATTTGGGGTTTCAGGATTTAGGGTTCCGGGTTTAGGGCTTAAGGCTTTCAGGGTTTAGGTTCTGTGTCACTCTTTTGGGAGGAGCTCAGTTGCGAGCCTGCGGATATCGTGGATGCCGACCTCTGCCTCATGGACGCGCAGGCACATGGCGTGGGGTGTTCGGGCTCCTATGAAGCTTTCATCAACCCCCCTAAACCCTAAACCCTATAAACCCGAAACCCCAAACCCTATAAACCCTAAACCCCTAAACCCCTAAACCCCTAAACCCCTGAACCCTTAAACCCCTAAACCCAAAACCCTAAACCCGTAAACCCTAAACCCGAAACCCAGATTCGGGTCTTGTCGCTGCTCTGCGCGGTAGTGTTATAGGGCCTTCCCTGGTTCAGGTTTTTTCGGGGTTTAAGGCTGCGTGAGTTCTTCTTAGTAGGAGGTCCTTCTAGCACGAAACGAACCTTAATCATTAGAATACGGTTCCTTAAAAAGGATACTATAAGGGTTACTATAAGGGTTTCATAATATACTATATTATGAAACCCTTATAGTAACC